TGTAGCGGGAGGAGCCGGGGATCAAACCAACAAGTATTCCTTGCATTTATTTATAGTTATTCATGGTTATCTATGTATGTATGTTGTTTAGTAGTTAAAATTATGTATGTAGTTAGTGGTAGTTTGTGTCTTGTTAGTTGTTAGTAGTTGTGTGGTTTGTGTGTGGGAAATAAACGGCCACGGTACCCAAGTCAAGAACTCTATGGCAACCTTCAAATTGAGACTAAATCAATTAATTGGCAATTAATCAGTTTTCTTTTTTTAAAGAGTGGTGCGTTAATGTGAGTTAAAACAGTCATTTAATTTGAACAACAATTTCAATTTCTAATATAGGCGACTTGCCAGCAACATAAATCCAGAAATGTTGAGTACCAGAGACCTACAAACCCCTACAACAGTGTTTCGCAACATGGAATAATCAAAATGGAGATGACCATCATGACTCAGTTTGTGAGCAAATGTCTAAATGCTAATATGAAAAGTTGTCTTTGTAAAAAGATGTTTACTGTATGTTCTTTAGAAAAATGTAATTCTCATACGTTTGGGTTTCTTCCACCACATCATGTCAGTGTCTCTACAGCATGATCATGAGCAGAGTCAGGCAGTGAGGAATGCTGTTTATGAAGGTTTATTGTGCAATGGAAGAAGTGTAACGTAGTCTGAAGTCAAATACAGAGCAGACTTCCCACCCTGCTCACACACACATTTCCCAGGGAAGTTTCATGTTATTCTTATGTTGTTGAGCAGATGTGTGATGTTGAAGTTGGAATGGAGTGTTTAGATGAGCTGAGCTTTCATAACATCCTGACTGCCTTGGGAGTGTGTAACTATTGGATCATCCCAAAGAACAAGGTTTCTTATTTTGTTTTGTTCCTCTGGGTATATGAAGGGTTAACAGTAAGTAGGGCTAAAGTCAACATCTTACGCACGCTCCGCCCTTCTTCATTCAAGAGTAATCAAAATGGACACATGTATACAGTCTGAAACAGCAAAACCCTTACAAGCATTGCAAAGTCACACTGATATAGAACACAGCCTTCATTGGAAGGCACACATATTGTTAGTAGCAAAATAAAAACACTGTAAAACATTCAGACATTTATCATCTATATTTATGCAGGCAGCAGATGTGCATAATGTGACCAATTCTTCATATGCATTACAAGTCTGGTGTCTGTTTTATAATTAAAAACATTTTCAGTTATTTACTTTATTAATAAATAAATACATTTAAATGTGATCATAAATATTATACATTTTCATTTCAATTATGCCTTTCAAAAAATGAAAGAATACTACATTTTATAACTGGTTTTGTGTTTGTATTATGACTTCATGTTATTTTCAGAAAATATGACAAAAAGTTATTTTTTACAAAGCATTACCTACTGCAGCTTTAAGTTTCTTATGTGTCTACCTATCATATTCCATATCACCCCCGGACCGGCAGGATAAATCTAGGTGAAGCAGCACTTACGCCTCCCTCATTACCAACACTGACGTGCTCTTGCGAGTTGATCAGACTGTGGTTGTGCTTCAGGTAACAACTGTGATCAGGGTGTTCCTGCAAACTTCTCAGTGAACCTTCCATGAATAAATAAAGGTAAAAAAAACAACAACAAATTACTGACTTCAAAGTCCTATTGATGCTATAAAAGTGTGAATGGTGCCTGTCATCTAACTTGTTCACTCCTGAAAAACTCACAAAGTGCTGTGTTTCTGTGAGAAAGTAGGTTCGGCTAGTTCAGATTTGACTGAGGTCATGTTTATCTGATGCAGTCATGAGATGGTTTCTTGTTACACTGTCTCTCTCTCTCTCTCTCTCTTTCTCTCTGCGAGTCATTTTGGACTGAAAGCAAAGGTTACAGTCTATCATGCTAAAAATGGAATGAGATTAGAACAGAGTAACTGATTTAAAGGGTTTTTTCAGACCACAAGTTAAACTAGATCAAAAGTGAGGCTATTGCTCATTTCTGGTAAAGAAATTCAGTTGGCATAGTTGGTTTGTTTATGTGGGCCAAAGTGAGTCTGAACCACGAAAACAGACTGTTCACATTCTCTGTGAGTAAAATGTTTGGGCTAAGGAACTAATTTACTACAGCTACCTTCAGATAATTACTATTAAATAACTGGATTTCCTTTAGGTACTGTAGACAGAAATACAA